AACACTTTGTGCAAGTCAAGTTCCACATTAAAAATAGTTTTAAAAAATGCAGAAAAATAAGTACATGATCAAGAAAAACATCATAGATATGTTTAAGGGTAAATAGAACACTAGATTCCAGATGGAAACTTCTTGAGCAAACATTCCAAAATAATATGTTCAAATTATATAACATAAATATCACTTAACCAGTCCTGCAGTATTTTTACTTTAGTAGAGTAGATATAATTGTTTAAAATAAATATTATTAGCTAGTGACTTAAATAACCCTGTTGAATACTGGTTTGGGTTTATGGAAATTAACTTCTGTACAGGCCTTTTCTATTTCAGTAGTATATATTATTTTAGCTATTCCATTTTATTATTATTATTCAACTTAATGCATGGCTGTGCCCTGAATTTTCATCAAAAGTCTGTATTTTAATTACTATTAGATATTCCTAAATTTTTTCCTTTCTCTTCATTCTTTGGTCACCTCTTTGATCCAAGGCTATACTTGTTGAATTGCCTGAGATATAGTGATATCTTATTATTGGTCTTACCTGAATTTCTAACTCTTCCTAGTTGTTCTTACATGTCTGCTGTATTAACATTCTTAAAGCAATCCTTTGACCAGGTCAAGCAAGCCTGATATTCAGAATGTTCTAATTCATCACAGCCAAGTTTCCTACCTTACTTTTTTGTTATGTGGCCTCCTAATTCATTTATCATCTCTTAACATAGAACTTTAGCTGCACTGGCCATGGGAGCCTCATTGCTGGCCTCCGTGCTATGCCAATAACGTAGTAATGACTGCCCAGGGCTTCCTGCCCCCTTCTTCAAAAGTTTTTCTAATAGGTTGAGATTACATTCTTCCTCGCCACATTTTATCTCTCCAACATTGCATGTCCTCCATATTTGATTGATATGGCTTAGGACTTGTCTAAGACTTTTCTTCCATTTAATGCACACTGATCATTCCCTTTTTCTGAATTCTTAACCACATCATAAATCATTACATACTTTTCTCTTTGATTACATGTTGCCTTCACCTACTGAGTAAGATGTGTATGTCTTGTCTTAGGGGAGCAAGTTATAAATTCCCCTTTAGAGAAATACTGGACCCCTGCTATAGGCTCTGTACTTTACCATTACATTAAAAGTGGTGTGATGGTTTAGAAAAAACATGTAATACTAGTTATATGTCTTTATGCTATTAAAATCTTATATCTTAAACCATGATTAGGCTAAAAATGTAACTTAAGCATTAACTGTATTTACTTATAACTTATCACAACCCTGAAATTCCCATGAAAATCTAATAAAAGTACATAGAAGAGTGATTTTATTTTAGATTTAATGCCTTACTTCATTTCAGTTTGATTCCTTTGAAGCTTTAGTCATGTGCACAGGCTAGTTTTGAGTCTGTGTTATTAACATAGTTGCATTCCATGAAGCCAGCAACCAAAGCTACAGCTTTGATTCTCAGTGATTTTACATAGTTTTACTTGGCCTGTTTGCCTAATCTTTACCGAGTCTTTAGATTTAATTTACAAGATTCTTGACCAAAATTTTTAGAATATATTTAACTAGGTATATGCCTTTTTGTGAATATTGTGCTTCTTGACTTTCTGTTCTTTTTAGATTCTAATACTCAATGTTGAATATTGTTTTTATTGCACTGAAGGTTCAATTATAAGCTAATTTGCAGTTAGGTTAACTAATATCAGTGTTTAATATAAATCTAAATGAAAGAAAAAAATTTTTTTAATCAATATTTTTTATTATGCCTTTGTGGGATACAGTTAAGGGTTAGGTGTACAATTACGTTTCATTCAGGCACCCTGTTGATAAGAGGTGTTTCCTCATCCCCAGACAGATA